CTAATTGGTACATTGAAAAAGACAGTGGCCACTTTAATTCATGCCTCCTTGTGACTCCAAACCCCCAGGTTCTGTTAGGGGGAAATGATGTCCTGAGTTAATCCCATACAGGCTTTGTGGACTCCACCCCCACTCCAGACTAAAGCCATCAAGACATTGGGAAAGACAAATCCCATCACCACCAAAGGGAGGGTGGCTGGGACCTGAGGGTGGAGTTGGGCAGCCAGGTTGGATATAAAAACCAAACACGTGGGCCTTGGGGTCTCTCTGGCTCGCGCTCGCTCGCCTCCTGGCTTCACCGCTCCTGGCTGGCGGCCAACTCTGAGAGTGCCATTTTGGGATTCCTGGTCGGCGGATTGGGTAGGACTCATTTAAAACTTTGTCTCCCACTTTTCTCCCAGAGCTGTACATTTCCTCATTTCCCCTTCCCTTGTAAATAAACCTTTTATTAACCTTTCACGTGTGCCTGCAGTAGAGCATTGATAAGTCCTTTTAAGCGCGCGGGTGAGGACCCACAGTCAGGCACCCCGTTTTGTATCGGGGTTGCTCTACAACAGTTCTACCATGACACTCACAACCTAGAATTTTTTAAAAGCTTCTTTCTAATCCCTGATGTTATAAAATTTTATAATGGTATGACGGTTTTTCATCTTTTTAATATCTTTAGACCCTAAGTAGACATTTCCAATTGAAAGACTCATGTCCTTCAATTCTGGGAAATTATCTTGTGGGTTTTTTTTTTTGATAATTTCTATTTTCAATTCTATTTTCCCCTAGAAGCTGATTACTTATGGTTGTACCTTCTGGGTTTCCCTTTAAGTCTTCTATCTTTTTTCTTTCAGTGGTCTTTTTTTTTTTTTTTTTTGTCATTGTTGTTATGGTTATACTCTGTTTTCCAAAAACTCTCTCAACTTTTTCAACCTCTTTGTTTACAATGGATATATATTTTACCTTCCAAGGTTTTTTCACAGAGCCAAGTTTCACAGTATCCTATTTTTGTTTTACAAATAATAGTATGTTGGGGAACAAAATTATTCATCTTGCACCCCTTGGTTACTTGAGGCTGGAAAATAATCAAACAAGCATCAGCCAGATTGCTAAGAGAAAAAGCCAAAAAGAAATTTAATAATAATAATATGTATACCTTCTGTATACATGTGAGAGATCCAGCATGATTAACTTGCCCACATGCTTTAGACACATCCTCAACAGCTTAGCAAAGATGAGAGATTGGGGAAAGAAAGGGAGAATTAAGCTAGGGAGTTTATCTGGAAAGGCACATTAGACAAAAGGTATGAAGTTAATTTAAGTTCTGCCTTCATCATTGAAGAGATATAAGATTAGGTCTTCCTGGAAGAGGTCCTTAAGGAGAGAAGTTTATAGATAAAAATCAAAAGTGAAACTTCCACCAAGCCTTCAGAGCCCCTCCCATGAAATATTCCTCTTTCCAGAAAGGACTATTTTGAGTTGGCAGAATCTTGCTCTCCTACAAATACTTGCCCTTATCTACAGGTACTAATAACTTAGGTTTTCTTTATATTGTTATTTCCCTAACTTCTGCTGGTTTCATTTCTGATTTTTGGACTTCTGTTTATAATGAGATGATGACTGGAATTTGTGTATGTGTGTGGGTGAGTAAATGGGAAGATTTGTTAAATTGTAGGTCTCATTGTAGGCAGATGTGACCATTCTCACATATATCTGTGAGGTATTTTTAGACAATTCAATTTCTCTATAGATGACATTTCTGATCTTTTACCTGGCCTTCATTCACTGTTCTGGAGACAGTAAGGAGACTGTTCCTGTAGTGGCCTGGGGTGGCTCGTGCAGCTTTTCTGGCTGGGCACAAACTATCCTAATTTTCCCCACGAGGTTGAAGAAATGGACTTCACCCCTTGACAGACAGGATGCTGCCCATGTCAGAGGGGAAAATGCCTGCTCAGTGTAATGGTTTGAATTCTACCCTTGACATATCCTGAGTGAGGGGGCTGCTGGGAAGGAGCAGAGTGGCCATTTTGGAAGCTTTTAAAAGGGAGTGATGCTTGTTCTTGCTTTTCGTCATTGGAGTTGCTGTAGAAAGCAGCCACCCTACCAGGTAGATAGATGGTGGGTCTTTGCTCCCAAGGTGGGGTGGGGGTGGGGGTGTTGGAAATCACCAGTGGCAGACTTTTGCTGCACTTTGCTGGCTTTTGTAGCTGCAGCTCCACTTTGTACCATAGGCTGATAACTGAATCTCCTCCCTCTCCCTAGTTGGTTAGAATTTTTTTCCTTTTGCTTCACCAAAGGCCCTTTTGTTTGCATTTGTGGTGGCAGGTGGCCAGGCCAGATCCAGAGCCAGTGACAGAGGTTTTGACCTGGTAACAGTTTTAGACTCTTTGATGGATAACAAACAGGTCTACTATTCTCTTACTTACTTTTTTCCTGCTTTTCACCTCCAAGAGTAAACTTTGGTCTCTTTTTAGAGTTATGGCTGCCTGGCTATGTAGCACCAAGGTATGTTGCAAATAGGTTTTCAACAATCCCATGTTTTAAACAGAGCAGTTACTTGTGTTTTTCCCAGTATCTGGGTCCTCCAAGTCCTAATCTTTCAAGGTATATCTACACATACCATGCTTTAATTGCAACCTTGGTACCAATGACTTGGTACCAATTTCTCTCAATCCAGACCTCTTTCATAAGGGTCTCAGCATATTATAATTGTGTCTCCACAACAGACTAGGAGCCTCTTTTGACAGCAGTGATGCTGTTTGTATTCTTTTGTATTCCCAGTGCCTGGCCCAGTACGCTGCACAAAAGCAGATATTTAATGTCCTTGTTTTCATTAAAGTTTGGATTCTTAGACTCTTTCCATCACCAGCAACTCTCATAGCCTTCCGTTATCACTCCTTTTCCAGTATATCCATTTGTAGCTTGCAGCTATCATGATGCTTTAAAGACAATGATTCCATGGCTTTGTGAGTGGTATTTCCTCAGTTCAGAATGTTGTTCTCATCCTTGTCCCCTAACTCCCTCCAAGAATGGAAATAGACTGTTTCATACAATTATAGTTCACTCATTCTTCCATTTTTAAAAACAATTTTATTGATTTTATATGTTATACAATAAACTGCACATTTTTCAAGTGTACAAAAAACAAACCAACCCAGAATGGAAATAGGAAGATGACCAGAGTTAAAGGCTAGTGCAGTGGTGGAAGCAAGAGAGCATGATGAGGCGGGAAGGCGTGATAAATTCTGGAGGTGGAACAGGCAGTACATACTTGGTGAAGAATTAAATGACATGGGGGGTGGTGATAATCAAGAATGACTACTGGGTTTTCTGGTTTGCTCAACTTAATGATGTTTTTATTCAAAGTAATAGGAAGGTATGGAAGTGAAACAAATCAAGAGTAATTAAACATTCAAATATTCAACTAATCAGATTTCTTCTTGGCTTGCTTTTATGCTATACTTAGGGAACTGGAGTACTGTTTTTTCTTTTTTTGGTAGTGGTATTGAGAAGGATACTTAGTTATTATCATTAAATTTGCCATTTAAGTGTACTCTCTGTAAGTGTACTGCTAGTACACTTAAGTATTAAATACATTCATATTATTATGTATACCATCATGACCACTCTCCATTTCCAGAACTTTTTCACCTTACTAAATTGAAATTACTTACAGTAAACAATAACTAAACAATAATTCTCCATTTTTTCTCCCCCTCATCCCTGGCACCCACTGTTTTACTTTCTGTCTTTATGAATGTGACTACTCTAGTTACCTCACATAAGTGGAAATATACAGTATTTATCCTTTTGTGATTAGCTTAAATCACAAAGCATAGTGCCTGCAACTTTCATCTATACTGTGGCAGGTATCTTGTTTTCTAAGGCAGAATAATATTCCATTGCATGTATATTCCACATTTCACTTATCCATCTACCCTTCAGTGGACACTTGAGTTGCTTCCATCTTTTGGCTATTGTAAATAATGCTGCCATCAACCTGGGTGTACATATTCTGTTCAAGTCTCTCTTTTAATCCCTTTGGATATATACATACAAGTTGAATTGGTAGAAGCAATTCTGTTTGGTTTTTTTTTTTGAGTATGTTTTCCATAGCAGCTGTGCCATTATACATACCCACCAGTAATGATGAAGGGCCCCAATATCTCCATATCCCCATTCTTTTCTTTTTTTTTTTTGATAATAGCCATTCTAATGGACATGAAGAGGCATCTCATTGTAGTTTTAATTTGCATGTCTCATGATTATGATGTTGAAGATTATTTCACGTTTATTGAACATTTGTATATCTTTGAAAAAATGTCTATTCAATTCCTGTGCCTATATTTAAATTGGGTTGTTTTTTGTTTTTGAGTCACAGTTGTTTTATAATATGGTATGGCTTCAGGAATACAACAGGTCTCCAAGATATAAAGCTAAGTTTTTAGGATAGTATGCAAGTGCTAGTGACATGAGGAAAAGGGATAGAAAAAGAGAAGGATGTCCAAAAAAGATTTTTAAAAAAAATTTAAGTTTCACCCTTAGGAAATAGTGAAGTAAGTACACTCTCAAGATTCTGAGCTCATTTTCAGATCATAATTTGGCAACCTTACGGGCTAAATAAGCATTAGTGGGTGAACCTGAGAACCTAACCACTATTTAAGAACATTACTATATAAAAAAGTGCTCCATCTTATAATCTTTTAATTAAAAAAATAGCTTTTGGTATACAATTAATTTATATGATGACTAAAATCTAAACTTGGAAAGTAAGAAATAATGGATTACAGACTTAATGATTATATAATGTTTTTAATTGAGAAGTTAATGTTTTTAATTACCTAAAGGGGATTTTAAAGTAGTCATTTTACTTAGTCCATTGAAAATGGATAAATTGTTGGATTCTGAATTTTTGGTAAAATGTTATAAGATGTAGGTGAGATCATTTATTATACATGTAAAGTATAATTTAGGTATTCTAGAATAAATATGACATTTTGAAGTATTTATGTGGTTAATTTCAATGTTCTAAATGCTATATTCTCTGTGAATAATTCATAGACAACAAAAGATATTATCATCTAAAAAGAAAAGAAAACAAGCTTATATTAATCTGAAACTAAAGATTAGCTTTCCATTTCTTGTCAGGTTCCGTGTTGCTAACTGTGGAGAGAAAGTTAAAGAGTAAATATTCAACAACAGATTAACAAATTCACTAGAGATGTTAAATTATTTTGTGGCTTGAAAAAGCGTTCATCCCTAAAATAATTTTGTCACTCAATGTAATGCTGGTAGTACTGAATTTACAAAAAGATTCTTAATTTGATGAATGAATTACAGCACTAGTAAACAATTATGGAATTATTACTTTAACATTTATTTTAAATGTTCTTATCTTTATTGTTGCTAAGACTTTTGATTGTTCTCAGATCTTATACATGTGAAATTCTTCAAGGTCTTGTGGTCTGGGAGAAGAAAAGTTATCTTTCCACTACACAGTTTTGGTTGTCATTCTGTTGGGTGAGGATTAGAATTCTTATGTGAGAGTCTAATTTCTCTGGGAGCTTTTGGTTCCAATTTGTGGCTTATGGGCCTTGCTTTTACTGACCATTCCTTGTGCCTGTCTCTACAACTTGCAGAGATGTTCAAAGGAGATCTCTGATGACTATTATTTTTCCTAAAGGAAAGCTAGTTCGTTTTTTTAAAAAGTGATTTAAATGCTGATAATGAAAGAATTAAGTTTTGGAATTATACTTACATATTTTTCCTTCTCTTTCCAACTTTTTCAAATGAAGCAAGAGATTATGTTCAGCCATTTTATGTAAATGCTCAGGTGTATTCTAAAAGAAAGACAAGAATGAAGAAAAATATTTCTTCTGAAGAAAAAAGAACATAGTTAATCCTTTGAAATGTCTAGTGAAAAAATGCAACAGAAGAAAATTTTAACTTAAGTGCAGTTTTATATATTAATATCACAAATAATTTCACCTTGTATATGTCTTATTTAGAGCTTTATAATTTTAATATATATATTTCTATAGATAAAATAACCCAAAGCACTACCCTAGTTATCTCACATTAAGTGGAAATGTACAGTATTTATCCTTTTGTGATTAGCTTAAATCACATGGCATAGTGCCTGCAACTTTCATCTATACTGGGCAAATATTTTGCTTTCCAAGGCAAAATATATATACAATTTTCCATTGTATATATATTCCATATTTCACTTATCCACTACCCTTTAGTATGTTTTGTTCAATGAATACCCAGTGCTTAGCATAATGGCACACAGTGGGAACTCAGTATTTTCTGAATGAATGAATAAATGTAAAAATTATTCTTCATTTTAATGATGTTCAATTTCCCCTAATAATTTATTTATAAAAGTAAGATCTTTGCACATTTTTATATTATCTGAATGACAAAGCAAACAGTCCTTTTATTCTCTAAATAAGGTTATTTCTGAAGCTAAGCTTCTTGACTCAATTCATGTTATTTTTACTTACTGTTGAGCTCCCTGAAAATGTTTTGCCAAGATCCTCTAATTATCTTTTAATCAAAATCCAATGGGTTCTTTTTATCCATTTTACCTGAGATCAGTTGGTTAGTCCTACCTTTTTGGAGATCTCTTCTTTTCCCCTTGGTTATCCTCTCTCACTTACCATTTAGTCTTTAATCTGGATATTCTTCTTCACATTTCTCTTAAACATTTATGTTTACAATGAATTGTATCAATGACCCTTTTTTTTCTCATCTAACTTACCACAGCAATAACAAACTGATTTCCAAATACAAAACTGCAACCCTAAACTCCCCCTTAAGCTCCACTACCATATGCTATTACCCATCAGTGTGACCTTCTAGATCTCATTATGTGACTTACCTGCCTAAGATCCTTGAGTAGTCATCCCCAGATCATTAGCTAAAGCTACAATTTTGTAGTGTGGCAATCAAGACTTCCCATGATCTGATCATGCCTGTGCTTTCTGCCTCATTTACTGGAACTTCTTCCTGCCCAACCACATAGGAGTTCCATTCTCCAGTCGTATGTTTTCTTTGTGAATTTTCAAACAAACTCAGCACTCTTTTATTACTCTCAGTGTTTTGAACATATCTTTCCTTCAGTCTATGATTACTTCTTTTCTCCTTTACTGTAACTGTGTCCTATGAAATGCTCACACCTTCTTCAAGATCCAAATTTCTGAAGCTTTTCCAGTCAAGTCTCATTATCCAACAGGTAGAATTGATTCTTCTTTCATTCCCTGAAATACTGTGTATAAGCTTTGGGAGAAGTTTGGTGTGATAGAAAAACAAAATCTGATATCTGACACTTGAGCATGTGATGTCTTATAGCTGGATGCCCTTGAAAAAGTTAATTAGCTCACTTTTTAAAGTCAATTTCTTTTACCTATTAAATTGGAATAATAGTATTTTTATGTAGTGACTATTTGAAGCACTTCAGTGCCTCAAGTCACATTTGTAAGTGTAGAGCATTCAGTATAGTGGCCCACACATAAAATTGTGCTTAAAAAAAATGGAAGTTATTATGATAGAGCCACTATGATAATTTTCTGTTGAACATGTCTATCTTTGCTAAACCATGAGTCCATGAGAGCAGGAATCTGTAACCATCTTTGTATCTCTGCACCTAGTCCAGTGTGTGGTACCTGAGAGGCATTCAGTAAATGTTGAATGAAACAAACTTCTCTATTCTACCTAATGTCATTCTATATACAACAGGTGCTTCATACCTACACACAGCAAATGAATCTCTGAATACACCTCTGAATGTAGAGTAAGCATTTTTTAGGTATGGGCAGTTATCTGAAGACTTAGCTGTGAGGGTTTTCAGAAAGTCTGTTGTCTGTACTTAGAGGAAAAAAAAAACCACACATACCCAGGTAGCAATGTATAGTCTAGAGCAGTTACAGTCTAATATTATGAGGAAACTACTTCCTTCACAGAATTTAAATATTAACATTACCCTTATGCAAATTGCACTTTTTATCTTTACCTATTTTAACCAATTATCCCACTTTTAAAACAATGCCCTGTGAATAGGACTGAACTATATTTTGATGACTTAGGCCTATAAGGCAATAAAGTCCTTTACTAATTGGCCCCAGGTACCTTTTCAAGCTTATCTATAGTTACACTCTCATGTGTTCTTTTGGCTTTATAGATAATGACAGTGGGAATTTTAAAACCCAGACGGTTCTTATTCCAAAGTCTATATTCTTAACCTTTAAGCTATACTGCTACACATCGAATAGTTAATAAATATTTGTCGAGAAACTGAAATGTACTAATCAATTGTAACAAGTGTTGTCATATAGTGATATGCTCTGAAGCACATATGAAGTGTCATACAGCAAGCGGCCATTGAAGGGAGGGGCTCTCTCTATGTACACTAAATTACTGATGGTCTTTTAAATGAACTTTCTCCTTTCCCCCATAGTTAGGCATAGATACTCCTTCGCACTGCTATTATCCTTGATATCTGTCTCTAGTAGAAAACGCTTCTCACTTCAGGCATGAGATACTACATAGTCTAGAGTATACATAAATCGTTACAAAATTCAGGCTGTTCTTAAGGTATCTTTTATAGAGTGAAGTATATAAGGTTTAATAATGGCTCAGAATGGCTATTTCTTATTGTCCAGGCCAGTTTTTACTTAACTTTTGTGTTCTACAAAGTTGAGATTGCTGGTGTCAAAGGTATCAAGTGAAATCACTCATAAAATTAACAGACTTACTCTGTTCTGAGATGTGATAAGTTTACCATACCTAGTGTCTATTAAATAGATTATTGTAATAAAATTGTGGCTGTGTACAAGTAAGAAAAACAAAAATTACCTTGTAAATAATTTTTACAAGCTCCATTATTGTAAAGAATTTCTCGAAGTTATCACGAAATACTGTAAGAATTTGCTCTTCTCGTGTATTTCTGTGAGAAATGTATTGTAGAATTTTAGCTTCAGCATCATGGATTACTGGGCCATGTCCTAAATTAAATTATAAAAATTAGTTCAACCATATAAAAATATTAAACACAACTGAATTTAATTCATTCTATTTAAAAATGATTTATATGAAATATTGAAAAGGTATATGAAATGCACAAAAAAATGAATTGCTTGGATAACAAAACAGGTTTAAGAGATTAGAGAATACCAAAAAAATTAGAGAATTATATTAAATGACATCTAGACAAAAGATTATTTTGTATACTAAAATATAAAAATTTAAAATATAGCATTAAAAATAGTAACCACAACAGTAACAATAGATAATATTTAAACACTGTTCATTACTTGCCAGGCACTATGTTAAATGCCCAAAATACATTATTTTTACAAGAATCTCACATGGAAGGTATAATATTATCTCTTCTTTATAGCAGAAACTGAGGCACAGAGAGGGTGAATAGCCTGCCCACAGTTAGGCAGCTAAGGAGGAGTAGATGGAGCTGGGATTTTGACTGAGGAACTTTTAAACATTGCTCTTAAACACTATGCTACTATGTTTATAAAAGATTGAAAAGGGGAATGTTCTTGGTCATGTAAGTGACCAAGAACCATTAAAAATTCACAAGGACCACAGCAGAACTCTAAGAAGCCTTTGTATAGGCTAGTAATTCAGAAATATTGACATTCTAGGTTGTTTTATTGAAATTTACTTGCTCTTTGGTGCAGCAGAGACCGCTCCTGTCTTGCCTGCTGCTCCCCTCAGCAGTGTATTTCAGTCAATCTGCCTGTTCTGTTCCCTACTCGGTCTCTGGTGAATTCTCTCACACCCCGCACCTCTGGCCTGTACCACAGTTCTTGTATGCGTAAATAAATAAATCTTAAAAAAATTTTACTTGAGCAACAACAAAGAACATAATCCAGTCAAAAAATGGGCAGAAGAGCTAAAAAGAAACTTCTCTGAAGAGGAAATGCAAATGGCCAACAGACATATGAAAAAATGTTCAACATCACTTGTAATCAGGGAAATGCAAATCAAAACTACCATGAGATACCATCTTACACCAGTGAGAATGGCACATATTAAAAAAACTAGCAACAACAAATGTTGGCGAGGATGTGGAGAAAAAGGAACTCTTCTGCACTGTTGGTGGGAGTGCAAACTGGTCCAACCACTATGGAGAGCTGTGTGGAGATTTCTGGACCTACTAAACATAGAGCTTCCATATGATCCAGCAATTCCACTCCTAGGTATTTACCCAAAGGACACAGAAACATCAATTCCAAAGAGCACCTGCACCCCTATGTTTATAGCAGCACTGTTTACAATAGCTAAGCTTTGGAAACAACCCAAATGCCCAAAAATAGATGACTGGATCAAGAAGATGTGGTACATATATACCATGGAATATTACTCAGCATTCAAAAAAGATAAACACATGCAATTTGCAGCAACATGGATGGTGCTGGAAGGGATCATGCTCAGCGAAATAAGCCAAAAAGAAAAAGAAAAATACCGGATGGTCTCACTCATAGCAGGAATCTAGAAAACTTAAATAAGGGACCAGGAAAATGAATATAAGAAAGTGAAAATCAAAATCAACAAAAACTATGAACCAGAGACACTTTTTGGGGGGGGGGCGGGAGGGAAGGATTGGGGTCAGAATGGGGCGTTTGCAATTGTATGGGGAATATAAAAATAAAATTTAATATTAAAAAAAAAAATTAAAAAAAAATTTTACTTGCTCTTTAACATAGTGCAAATTAATGTATTACACAACCCTGTGAGAGAGATGTTTACAATATTTGTGAACAAAATATGCAGAAATAGGCTAACCTAATTATCATGTAAAGAGCATGGGCTTTGGTTAGAATATTGACCATCAATACTGACTAGCTGTGTGGCCACGAAAATTCCTGAATCTCTGAGCTTGTTTCTTCGGTTGTGCAGTGAGGTCACCACAATGTACTTCACTGGGTTTTTGAGGGCACAATAGCTGTAAAGGTCCCTGCAGGATACCTGAAGGGTAGCAGGCTTTAATACAGGGTAGCTATGGTGAAAGAACATAATTTACATATAAGCTCCTGCTGTGCTAATAAGCCAGTTCATTGGATTCACTAAAGCAAACGTAAGAACCTTTACGAGGCAGTCTATCATTAGCTTTGCTTGAAAATGAGTACATCAAATATATATTCTTTTCTTTAAGAATAGCTGTTAGCATCCATTCCTTTTATGTCATAATATTAATCCAAGTGCCTGGTTTCACTGTGTATTTCCTACTCCCTCAGCAGAAGAAACTGATGAGAAAATACAGGGTTTTGTAGACACCATATTTATGGATTTTTCCAAGGTAAGTTTTGGTTAAGAACAAGTCAGAAAGATATAAAAACTTAAGTAAACTATAGTCTCTTTTTCCTTCTGGGTGTTCATGTTGGGTCCTGTATCTTAGCTTTTAGGATGGAGGGGATATTCACAATATAGAGCAATGTACTGTCAGTTCAGACACTAACAACAGGTTTCTTTTTCTGTAAAATCAAAAGAAATATATAATTTTACAGCTCAGGGGTAAGCTACTGTTATTTCACTAATGAGTAAAAAAAGTAAAGGGCACACAGCTGAAATGTGGTTCACAACAGAAATCTAGTTAACAAATGTGAGGACTGCATATGGGATGAAGTTTTTTCTTGTTCCAATATAAGTTTATTTCCTTTGTTTAACTTAATAGTCATGTAGATGTTAGAAAATAATCCTCATATCTTCATAAAAATTATTTTTTTTAATGATCTTTCATTGCTTTATATCCTTGTTAATTTTTTGACAGTATAAGATTTCTCCCCTCAGGTGTGGTCACCATAGCTCTCCCGTCACCAAAGCAACCATAGTCTTCCACCATAGTCCACTGTACTCTCCCCAACCCCTCTTTATAAAAAATTATTAATATAACTTTTAGCTTTCTTTCTAACCACATTGGTAGATAAGATTTAGGGTCAGAATTTAAAGGGGCAGTTTATATCTTCAAGGCTGAAAACACAAAGAACATACACACACAGACAAATCAAAATGAATTTTTCTCATTTGTTTGATGCAAATGGTTTTAAAGATTTACAAAATTACCCACCTGGATATATAATATTAGCTTTGATTTTCAATAAGTCTTTTAGGGAATTCATATAATCATAGAGATCTTCAAATACAGTTGTTCCTTCCCCTAGGATGCAATCTCCAGAAAAGAGAGCATTTTCCTCTTCTAAAAGTAGAGCCATATGATCATCAGTATGTCCAGGTGTATATATAACTCTGTTGAAAGAAGAAAGAAATAATAATGGTTATAAATTCTTAAACTCAGAAGAAATTTTGAGAAGTAAATTTTTCTCTATTGTGTCCTGTACAAGACACAAATAAATGATGTCAAGAGTTAAAGAGCTCCTTTCTTTTTGGTGGCTCAGTGAGACTTATCAGAAAATTTTCTTCTTTAAATTTCTTACTCTGAAGAACAAATTTATATTTTCTCACTTTTTTTCCTTATTTTATGGCAAGAAACACTGATCACAACAAATCTGAAAAGGAGAATTAAAGGAGATAAAAATCATCAGTAATTTTACTCTAAGACTGTACTTTCATTATTTAAAAATATATTTTTTTCAGTTTTCTAAGCAAACACACACAGCATACTTTATGACAAGGTTATGGGGATAAAAGCACTTTCATGTGTTGCTGGTGGGAGTGTAAAATGGTACAGAAATACTGGGGGGAATTTGGCATTTCCTAGCAAAATTATATAGCCATTAACATTCTCACCCATCAATCCTACTGCTAGAAATTTATCCTGAAAATATACTTTCACAAATACAGAAAAAAAAAATGCACAAAGTATTCATGAAGTTATTTATAGTCAAGAAACATTAGGAACATCCAGATCAATGTCCTTCCATAGGCAACCATGAATAAATTAATGGGACATTGATCCAATGGAATACTATGTGGACATCAAAAAGATTGAGGAAGATCTTTATGAAGTGATATGGGATAATTTACAGGATACACTACTGTCATGGGATAAAAGCACAAAAAAGTGTTCATAGTATGCTCTTCTGTATAAAAAATATGGGGAAATAAAAACTTATATATAGTCTTGCATTGATTAATGATGGGGTTATGTTCTGAAAAATACCTCGTTAGGAAATTTTGTAGTTGTGTAAATGTAAGAGAGTGTAATTATGTAAACCTGGGCAGTATAATCTACCAGACACCTAGGTTATATTGTATAGCCTATCAGGACCACCATCACACAGATGGTTGTGGTTGACTTTAACATTGTTGACTTAAACGTTGTTAAAAGATACATGACTGTATATATTTCCTTATTTTTACACAAAGTAAGTCAGGAAAGATAAATCAAAAACTAGTGAAAATAGCTACCTATAGAGCTTAGGAAAAAGAGATACAAGGAAGATTTCTCTTAGAAATTTTTAAAAAAATAGTTTTAACTTTCAAGTTATGTAAATATTTTATATACTCTAGGCATAAAATTAAATAAAAAGAAAAAAGAAAACCTTAACATAGAATATAGAAAGAAGTTAACCTTATTATACACTGGATGGCTAAAATTCGTATTTTAAAATGAATGAATTAAAAAAACTTTCAATTATAATACTAAGTCTATACATCCTTAATAGAACATTATCTTGGGATCAAAAGAATTACAAAGATATTTTCAATTTAATGAGTTTATTGTTGGAAGTATTATTAGTTATGCTTTTCTAAAACTTTTTTGTGTTTATTTTATGACAGTGTAAACATATAAATAAATTGATGTTTAGGATCAATGGGATATTGCAGGAAAAGGAAAAAATATACATGAAATGAGGGAGTTATGTTTTGGGTTGTTTCTATCTGAGTTGAGGAATCATTATAAAATCACCATTTCATTTCTTTTTCATTTTGTTCGTTTTCTCTATAGAAGGTCCAGCAGCAATGGTACTCTAGTGGTAGTGAGCACACCTCACACTCATCTCTAGAAGTTCATAATACCACTATCCACTTAAAGAAACAAGGGCTTCTTGCACACATTACTGGATCCAGGTCTGGGGCAGGGAAAGTAAACTGTGATACTGAGACATCCTTTGTCAGATAGCAGTGAAGTGCTCAATGATTAATGGAGCTAAGTCAAAAGGACAGAATGGAAGAAAATATTCATACAATATGTAAATGTAAAGGGGTTAATACCAAAGATACATAAAAACATGTATAATTTGACAATAGAAAATTCACCAAAGAGAATATCCAGAAGATGCATGAAAAAATGTTCATCATTACTTCCAATAAGAGATATGCAGGTTAAAATCAAAATGGATGATACCCATCAGAATGGCACATATTAAAAAGACCCTCAACAAGTGTTGGAGAAAATGCAGAGATAAAGGAAACTTACTACACTGCTAGTGGGAATGTAAAGTAGCATAGCCACTATGGAAAGGGATTAGAATTCATTGAAAAAAACAAAACAAAACAAAATACACTTTAAAGGTCTTGGTTGGGCCTCCCTGGTGGCGCAAGGGGTTAAGCGCTGCACTGTGAAGCAATCTGCAGCCTCTACAGGACGAGTTCGATCCCTGGCCGGCCACCCACATGGCACAGCAGACCTTTCCTGTCTTGCCCGCTGAGCTACCCACATGGCACAGCAGACCTTTCCTGTCTTGCCCGCTGCTCCCCTCAGCAGTGTATTTCAGTGCCTGTTCCCCACTCTGTCTCTGGTGAATCCTTTCACCCCCCTACCCCGCCCCGCACCTCTGGCCTGTACCCCAGCTTTTGTATGCATATATAAATAAATCTTTTTTTAAAAAGGTCTTGGTTACCTGAATATAATAAAGTATTGCTTTCAGTATTTTCAAAAAAAGAAAAACAATACACAAAATACTGTATGACCCAGCAATAATTCTGGGGAATCTAACCAAAGAACATGAAAACATCAATGCAAAAACCATTTGCTGTACAATGTTTATTGCAGCATGATTTAGAATAGCTAGGGCATGGAAGCAGTCTAACAGCCATCAAGCAAAGATTAGATCAAAAAGATAGTTTATCCACATTACGGAACACTATTCAAAAACAAGGAAAGACGAAATGTGGCTCTTTATACCAAAATGTAGGGAGTTAGAGGGAATAATGTGTAGAAAAGTCAGAATGACAAAAATACTGGATATTTACATAGTGGACAAGTTGACAATATAAAAAACCAGCATACATTAATAAATGCAGTGATGGCACTATTGTTAAAGGGGGAGGGAGAAAAGGACAAGGGGATATATTATAGGGAAAAAATAGAAAAACTGAAAAAAAAAACCAACTTGTTGAAAAAATAGTTAAGTCTAAATAGTTTGCTCTGTGAGAACCCTCTTGATTTCTTAGTCACTATAGACTCAATCCTCTATACTGATCATTTTTTCCTCTATATTCTTTTGTACTTTAGATTATATTTCTATTACTGCAGGTTTCACACTGTTTTCTTATTTGTTTACCATTTTACGTCACAAGGCTATAAATTCCTGGAAGGCAGAACTCTTGTCTTTTTCTCATCTTTATATTCCTAGTGCTTGGTATTTAGTAGAAGCTAATGTTAATATATTGTTTTCAATGTGCCAGTACCAGTCTTTTTCTCTTTTTTTTAAGATTTATTTATTTATTTATACAAGCACTGGGTACAGTCAGAAACACAGGAGGGTGACAGAATTCACCAGAGCCAGAGCGGGGAACAGAACAGGCAGACTGATGAAATATACCGCTGAGGGGAGCAGTGGGCGGCAGGAGAGGTCTGCATGCCATGTGGGACCCTTGCCGGCGGCGGCCGGGGATTGAACTGGCGCTGCAGAGGCTGTGGGCAGCTTTGCAGCCCAGCGCTCAACCGCTGCGCCACCAGGGGAGGCCCCAGTACCAGTCTTTAGGGATTTATAGGTATTATACAATTAACCTTTATACCACTATGGGATGGGTAATATTAATCACTTTACATTCTAGATAACTGAATCAAAGGAGATAGTAATAAATATCTGATGCAATTTGGTTTAAATTGTATTTTATTTAGCTTAAGAGATTATCTTTGTCTATTCCACATAGTAGAACAGTAGCATTTTTATATGCTTGGAATATTTTTTTTTTAAAGATTTATTTTTTATACAAGAGCTGGGGTACAGGCCAGAGGTTCAGGAGGGTGAGAGAATTCACCAGAGACAGAGCTGGTAGCAGAACAGGCAGACTGATGAAACACACTGCTGAGGGGAGCAGCAGGCGTGACAGGAGAGGCTGCTGCGCCATGTGGGAATCTCCCTGGTCAGCCAGGAATCGAATCCTCACTGCAGAGGCTGTGGACAGCTTCACAGTGCTGTACTCAACCCGCTGCGCCACCAGGGAGGCCCCATATGCTTGGAATATTTTATTATTTTTTAAAAAGATTTATTTATTTATGTATACAAGAACTGGGGTACAGGCCAGAGGTGTGGGGGATGAGAGGACTCACCAGAGACAGAGTGGGGAGCAGAACAGGTAGATCTACTGAAATACACTGCTAAGGGAAGCAATGGACGAGTATAGCTTCATAGAACTGAGACTTAACCCTTTGTGCCACCAGGGAGGCCCCTGCTTGGAATATTTTAAATAAATATTCTCAATGATGGATTTTTGGGGGAAGGACTGGGCAAGTATATACATATTGGTATTTAATATTTAGGAATTGAGCATGAGTTTCTGGTTAAAGATAGTGATTGAATCCCAGATCTATTTTGTTTTCCTCCTAACCATCAATAAATTTACCTTACAGGGACTTTTTTCTGTTTTTTTCTTTTTTTTTTTTTTTTAATTATTTCACTAGTCAGTGAAATACTGGTTTGTAACATTATATAGGTTTCCCCTGTACAGCATTATAATTTGCCTTTATATAAACATGAAGGGAATTTTTAAGATATAAACCCACATGGATGAGAACAGACTATATCACTAAGATTTTAGAAGCTAGAAGGAAGACAGATGAGTGATATGTGACATATCAAACAGAAAACTGAAGCCTAAGCTTATAGCGGTGAAAACTGAGAATCAACCAGATTTATGCTGCAGAATTCTCCAATGTCTCGGGGTGCGGTGCAGTAAGAATCAGGAAGCAGAGGGCAAAGTAGGGAGGGCTACCCAAAATAAGGACTAATTGATTCATTGTCTGCTCAGAAAACAGAACTTTTATTTCTGGCATAAAATACCAGGGTTGAAGTCTGTTCCAGACCAGTGAAACATAAGTTGTTGGATTAGAAAAAAGACATTTTTAGATATGTAATGTCTCAAAAAAGTACTTTTCACAGGAAGCTATAGGAGATGGGTTGCACCAAAAAAGGAAATTATGGAGTACAGAAATAGGAGATCCCACACTGTAAAGAGCCAAAGGATCCAACACTGGAAAAAGCTGAGCTGGAAAGAAATTCAGGTCTGGAAGGAAACCAGCCCAGATTACAGCAAGTTCAGAGGCAATGAGGGAAGTTATTCCGGAAGGTGGAAGTGACAGAATCCTTTACACTTACCTTACACTATTTTTCTCCTGTTCTATTGCCCACTCCCCATGCCTGTCTGCTTTGCTTACATTCACTTGATACATTTAAATATCCTGAGAGGAGAGTTATATAGTCAGAGTTGAATTAATGGTAAGTACATAGAATACTATAGAAATATAGTTTATTATATGGTTCAGCTCAAATAGCACCTATAGTCATAATAATGTAAACACTGAATACTGATCTCACCAAAATTAAGACATTACAAGATGGGGGATAAGTACAGTTTCCATAAACAGCAGAAGTGAAAAAGCCAATCCTAATTTTTTGAGAGTGTGAAATTAATAAATACCTAAAATGGAAAAAAATCAAGATAGTGACAGGAATTGAACAATCCTCCAAGATTTGTTACACTTACAGCACAGGTCTGTTTATTTTTTTCTTCCTAGAGGCAACCACTTTCACTTTAGGAATTTTTATGTCACTTGCCTGCACAACAAGCGCATACTATCAAAGGTAATTCTGTGAGCCTCTCTTCTTTGCAGGCCTAATAAGCCCAGTAAAGATAGCTGTGTTTTGAAATTTTGATTTTTAGATTATGGTAGTTACAATAAGAAGTAAATCTTTTTAACAAAGTAATCTGAGAGTGGTATCTTAGATTACACAATCTGTTTAAAGTTTAATGTTGTATTAAAAAGAGAATCCATAAAGCGAAATACACAGATACATGTTTAAAATTATTTGTGTTACTAAGGACAATGTTACTAAGCAGGAACAATGAAGCTCCAATAAAAAGATGTGCAATTGTTGCCAGAAACTAAAGGTTCAGTTTTTTCATAGGATAACTCTAGCAAACATTTTAAGGTCAGATATTTTACTATTTAACTTATCCCAGAGCACAGAAAGAGAGAGAAAACTTAACAATCCTAAGTCTGACAAAGGCTGCCCAAAATGAAGAGAGTTCACTCCCCACTCCCACTAATGGATCAATACAAAAAAACTAAAGTATTAAGAGAATCCCAAAATATATTTGAAAATAGTATCATGACCCAATAAAGTTATTTAAAAAACCACAAAGTTGATTCAGTATCATAAGATTCCTGAAAATAATAAAGCTATGGAGAAAACCAGTAAGGTCATATCCACACACTGAAAGACATTTGACAAAATTCAGCTCTTAAATAGCAGTATTTAAGAAAACTGAAATGTTATAGAAGAGTTTCTCTTTTACTCTCACCATCAATCAAATCCTTGATACTAAATATTAAAACTGTAAAGTCTTTATAAGAATATGCTAAAATGTAATAGATATAAGGAAAAAGAACAGGAGATACTGATGTAATGGGAGCAATTATTTTTGAGAGGCAGTAAAAACTGACATTAGGAACTATTATGCTTTTATGGCTTTTCAAGTGTATGCTTTACATATTGGAAACTATTAGTATATTTTAGATGCACCAAGGGCAGGTTATTAATGAATTGTTAGAAATTGTCTCTTTTGTCTAATTAAACCTGCTGCAACCTATTAGATCAAAGTATGCAATGTTAAATGAACATAATTCCAGGAGGTATATTTCCAGCAATATAAAATGTGTGTAGAGACTGTATCTTATCTTGTGGGTAACCACACATAAAATGCATTTACAAATGGTACCCCCAGTCTCTTTTTTTTAATTTACAAAACTTATTTGGAGAACTATTCTTTTTTAGAGCCTGCAAACTGTCTTATACACCAACGTGCCTGTAATGCTTCCTTTATTACTCCTCAGCCAGAACTCAATCATGGTTTGGATACTTTCGAGGTTGAAGGCAGTAAGATTTCTTAAATTAAGGGATCAGAAATTCCAATTCTCCAGTCACCTGGGTGGCAAATGCTTGAATTTGCATAAAAAGCTGTGTTAAAATTCACCTCACATAGGCAGGAGGAGAAAAGGAAATGACATCAGAGGTGCTTTGCTAAAGATCAGAGGAACTGCAGCTGTGGCCTTCCCATTCATCAGGTAGAACATTTATCTAGTTCTGCCACTTCTGTGATAGACTTTCTAAGGATGGCGCTTTCAGAAATTTTATAACAGCCAACAAAAACCATCAGATTGACTTCCTCAAGAAATTAAACTTAATTCACTAGAAAATTCCTGAAGGATATATCCATAGTCAAATCCTTGCTGAAAAATGCTAACTTTCTAGTTTTTACTGAAGCGTTTTTGTGGGTATTATTTGTATCTCTATTGTATTTTATTTTCTTTCAAAATTGGCATGTGGACAAGATCAATTGCACATCAATACTTGGAGTCTTAACTAGATTTAACTTTGTGTTTATGGAACTTTGTTTAACAATGAATCTAAATGATTTTAAAACAATTAAGTTCTACTGACTTTATAAAAATGGTAATTGAAAACAATGGTCATCAGTAAATTAAATGTTTTATTCAGATTTTAGCATAACCAGAATTACATTCTTAAAAAAGATTATTTACTAAGTCATTTAAAAAGAGTATCTGTTTTTTGGGGATTATTTGTGTTTCCCCAAATCTTTAAACCAACTCTTATGCTTACCTTATTAGAACTTAGCAAAACAAAAATTAAATAGACTTCAGATAACATTAAGATCACTGGCATCAATTTGATCTATGAGTCGAACTAAGGGGTGGAGATGGTGATAAGAAGCAAGCATGAAGGAGTCTTTGGGGCATAGGTATTGTTTCTTGACTTGAGTGCTGGTCATATGGCTTATTCAGTTTGTAACAACTGACTACATTGCACAGTGATATGCACACTTTTCTGTTTATATACTTATTTTTAATTAAGAGCATTTTAGGAAAATTGCTAGAAAATAGTTGGTTTGTAAATTAAAATTTGCAAATCACAGGCAAAATGTAAAACAGGGAATATTGGTTTGAAAGAAGGCACAGATATCCATTACCCCATTTTCTCTTTCATCTGTTTATTCATTTCTTTGTAGATATTTAGTACATATAGGATATTCAATGCTTTATGTCAGGGACTGAGCAGATAAAGATGAATCTGGTGTCTTCCTATAGCAGAGGATGGCTAGCTTATCATAAAACTGGTTTCATTTTTTTCTTGGGTATGAAATTAAACTGTATTTCTTTGGGTTGGTTTGCTGTAGCAACTGGCATTAACTAATAAGGCGAATCTAAGGAGTTACTTGCCTTTTAAGGAGACATCTCTCTATGAACACAAAAATTACAGTTTAGTAAGTGCTTTAATAAAATAACAAAAGTCATATGAATGTAAGAGGAGGGAGTAGTAGATTTTAATCAGAAAGGATTCTTGAAGTAAGTAACACATGAAATGAGCTTTGAAGAAGGCATATATAAGAATTTACCAGAAAGAAAAGCAGTAGGAAAGTGTGAAGCCTAATAAAGGGAAAGTTATGAGCAAAGGCATGAAGACACACAATGTGCCAAGAGTATCTGGAGATGGCTGATTGTGTTTGCATGGGGGGTAGTGGGAACTAAGACTATAAAAATGATTAGACCAGATTGTGACTTGGGAAACAGAATAAGTATAACTTATTATGTATGCTAGCTTGTTATAGGTTGAATAAAGCTAACCTAATTAGATGTGGTGTGCAAGGGTATCTAGGGTGCTAAAGGCAAAGAGGAGTCAGCTTCTATCTTACAAGAATAAATAGAATCTTAAGAACTGAGCAGATGAGTATTCTGAAATCATAAACCAAGAAGAGATTGTGGGGGAGAGAAAGAGAGTCTAATTAGTTCAGTCTCAAAATTATTGAGTTAAAAACACCTTTTTGAATCCGTCAATAGGTCATGAGGGCTTAATGGTCTGATCTAAAATGTATTTACCTTAGGTATGGGTCACCTTTTGGAAGTGAGAGCATGGGAAAGCCCTAAAATGAACTGGTGGGTAATCTCTAAATGAACCCAACTGACCTGTTTTTTAAATAATTAAAATGCTATTATTTAAAAAATGATAATCGTATAATTCAAAAAAATAATTAAAATTAAAAGAGTAGAGAGCTTTTGTTACCATTTCTCAAGCAAGTCAATTTTCTTTTTCCAGAGTAACAATTTTATCAGATCTTTTGTATCTTTCCTGAGACAATCTCAACTCAAGCAAATATGCAGAAGCCTTCTTTCTACAACCTTTGTTTTAATACATATATATAGGACTTCCCTCTATCACTGCCTTCCCTGGTGAAAGGACATTAGGACACTTACCTTAGAGTGGCACCCTCAGTTATAATCAGATCACCATCTTTCAGATATACATATTGTTGTTCTCCATCTCCTATAACTTCTTCTCTCTGAGGATTTCTTGGGAGTTTTTTAATGCAATATTCAGTGCCTAGCCACAAAACATATGAAATATATTAAGTCATGCTTTAAATGATAATGCAGTCTTTTCAGATAACATTTATGAAGGGCTGCAAAAAATATTAACATTGAGATAGTAAAAATGGTACAAATTATAGCAGTATACTCTAGGATGGTAACTTTCTTTTATCTCAACAAAGAGCTTTCTATTCTCTTATGACCCTCTAAGTCTACATAAAAGTCTTTGTGTTCCAGTCACTCCTATTTTATACAATTTGAAAGTAGTTCTGTATAATCTAGCTAGCTTTGTTATCAAGATGGGTATTGAAGAGGCAATAACAGAAGCTGAGAACTCTATCTAGTGCCTAACTTACAGTAAAGAAGTCATGGTGTCCTGGCAATAGTTAATAGTAAATGGATGATAGTATAAAATTCAAGCCCCAAACCTGGGACTAAGATATTAAAAATTTATAATAAATTTAACCCATTCTATCTCTCAATTACATAAAGAAAAATCAGTAACTAGCCAATCAATAGTTGAGTGCAAATTATCTAACCAGTATCCAATGTATAGTATGACTATAAGTTCCATGATATCAAAGTAATTGAAAACTGTTTTAGTTGGGGAAATAAAACTTATAAATAAGAAATGAGTGAAGAACTATATGTAGTACTGTTTAATGAATACAAAGTGAACAATTTTGATAATAAAAACAAGAGTTAGAGAAAGGGAAAAACTAAGAAAGGATTCATTAATATGACAGAACTTGAGGTATGATATATAGGATGAGGAGGATGGGAAAGGTTAAGAGAAAAGATTTGTAGATAAGAGAACAGTATTAGCAAGGGTGTGGGAATGAGAACAAGTATGGCATATGTGCAACAACATAACTGCTACCAACTTGTCTAAAGCAAAACACTATCTGGGAAGATTTGAGAAAAGGTGTGATAGGTAGGAGGCGCTGAAATCACGGAGATCCTCAAAATGCCTTTCACAGAATAGAAGAATTTAAACTTCACTGAATGTGGCCACTCTTCACTCTTCCATAAGTTAATGAAATAGTGTTAACAGGTTAATCAATATGGCAGCTTTTGGTGGGGAGATTGGAAAGTGAGAGAACAGAAAGATTAGGAAGGGACGAAGGCACTGACCCAAATAGAAGGTAAAGAGTATTAGGGATAGGATCACAGAAATAGAACTATGGTGGGAGAAAAAGACATTCAGAGAAAACTGACAAGGCACATAAATCTGGTCAGTATGGAGAGTAAAGGAGATGGAAATATTGAAGTAAATACAAAACAACTAGCACCTTCCTTCACCAACCCCAAACTACTACTTTTTATCTTAGAAGCTGAAGCAAAATAATATATTATTCTGGGAAATGGCACTACCTAATAAGTTTGTCTTCATTATTGAGTGAGTTGGTGAGGTATTTTCTGTTTTTGCTTTTAATCTTCACAATTTTGTCTTTTAGTCTTCATAAAAAAAAAATATTTCGAGTTGTAAGCCTTTTGGCAGACAATCCTTCACCCCAAATCACATTTATCTCAAAATTACAAAAATATTATACCATAAAATTACTGTGTCAGTTTTTAAAATTATGTATAAATATGAAAACACATATCCTATTCATAACAGCAATCTATTGGCAGGATGAAGAAGGGCATGCTGAAAGCAATCATATAATAATCATTTTAATAAAAGCTTACTGAGAAATAATTTATCCTTTTAAAGTTACAAATCAGTGTTAAAAAAATAATATTTAAAGAACTGTACAACCATCACCATGACCTAATTTTAGAACATTTTCAAAAATGCCCAAAGATACCCTGTAATCAATGGCAGTCACTTTTTATTCTCCATCTCTCAGCTTTGGCAACCACTTACCTATTTTCTGTCTCTATCAGATAATTATTTTATGAGGAGCAAACACTCAGCTATTTGTTAAGGTTTGAATAATCAATTATAACATCATTGCTAATGCTAATTATTTAAACTGATATATAGTATTGTTTACATATAATGCTTTTTAATAAAAAACATATTCTAATTGAATAGTATAGAAGCAAATATCTGAGTCCTTGGGTCTCAGTTGTGAAATATGTGGCAAAGATCCAACTTCTGCTGCAAAACAGTAATTATAAGATAACAAAATATTTTTATAGGATTTACTTAAAAAAAAAAAAAAGAAAGAAACAAAACACCCAAAACAAAACATTCAACCAGTCTGGGGTTAAATTAACTCTCATGTCTAGTAAAATGCATGCTCCCTATAAGTCACTAGAAGTTCCTAAATTATACTCTGTGTTTTAAAATTTTTAAGCAGGTTGCTATGGAGTTACTGTATATTTCCACTACAATCTTATTAAAGGCATTCTTATTTTTGGTGTGACCTATAAAAATTCAGGTTGTTGAAAAATTTCTGCAGAAATAATAATTAAACATAATAGTAAAAAATGTGGAAAAAGTGAATAATCATAAAACAAAATGGAGTAAAAATGCTAATGATTAAGAATTTAGAGGATGAAGAAATACATGGAGCATTTCTGGGGGGATTCTGGAAGGCACTTGTACAATTCAGTGCTGAACAACTCCAGATCTGCATGCAGTCTATATAGTTTCAATACAGTTCAGAATGAAAGACAACAAGGCACTTCTCAAGTAAAGTATTAAAATTTTAGTGGCTATAAAGCAGTTCCAAATTTCTCCTTGATTTTCTTTAAAGCAATTGAATAGGTAATCTATTATAAAAATATTATTTTGAATGGAACCCAAAACTTAAAATTTTTAATCTAAAGAAAGTGGGTAAAATGTCCAATAGGCAAAAGAAAAACAAACTGTTATATTCCTACCATGAATTGCTACTTAGCAATTCAAACTTCTGATCCCTTGTTTGGTTCCCCTATATTTCTCCTATAAGTGAAACCAGCCGGTATTTTCCTTTTTCCTTCTGACTTATTTCACTGAGCATAATCCTGTCTAGCTTCATCCATGTTGCTGTGAACGGCATTAGTTTATCTTTTTTGATTGCTGAATAGTATTCCAATAATGGTTAGTTTTTATTAAATCTAAAGTAGAAATTGTCATATAGACTAAATTAAAATTGGTCATCACTGGGCAAAGGAGCAAAAGAAGAGGGAGAAGAGATTTGAAATAGAAAATAGGACATTTTCTTTGTTCCTTTGTTAAAACTGGAGACAATGGTCAAGTTATATTAATGTTTAAAAGTACCATTTAAATAGAAGTTATTCAATAAATGGTTTACTAGCTTACTTACCCTGTAACTGAAACAAATTGTTCTTAAAAATCTACTTTTTCTTAATAATGAATTTAATGAGAGTTTTTTTGTTTACCATTACTGATGTTTTTACAAATATCTCCTATGCCTCCAGTGTGATCACGGTGCCAATGAGTAACTATGATTTCCTGAATTCCTGTGTTAAATTCAGTCAAAGCCTGCTTTAAACAGGTGATGTACTCTGGAATTGCTGGTTCTCCAGTGTCAATGAGGATTCTCCTGAAAAATAAATGGAAGAGAATTAACACAATTGGAACAGAGTTAATATTAGCATATTTCCCACACAGAAAATTTATTTAAGATATTGTATATATTGGGCCTTCCTGGTGGCACAGGTTATTGAGAGCAGCGCTGTGAAGCTGTCCACAGCCTCTGCAGTGCCAGTTCAGTTCTATCCCTGGCCGTGGAGATACCCACATGGTGAGCAGACCTCTCCTGTCTCGCCTGCTGCTCCCCTCAGCAGTGTATTTCATTAGTCTGCCTGTTCTGCTCCCTACTCTGTCTCTGGTGGATCCTCTCACCCTCCCGCACTTCTGGCCTGTACCCCAGTTCTTGTATAAATAAAATTCTAAAAAAAAAGAAATTATATATATTGCTATATTTTCAGTATTCTTAGATACATAACTATAGCGTCACTCACCTATAAATCTCACCTATAAATTCTTCAAAACTTAGAGCTAAATTTAGGTCTAAACAAAGAATAGCAATAAGAATAGATATTTACCAGCACTTAAATATGGCACTATTTGAAGGAAATGGCATATTTTAACAATCAGATTACTTATAACAACTGCTTAAGTTAGGTATTCCATCATTATATGTAGAAATTGAGTAACTTGTCCAAGGATATGGTACATTCAAGCTAGCATTCAAACTCAGGTATTCTGCACTACAAAATGTGCTTTTGTTAACTTTGCCTTTAAGATCTTTTACAACATCCTCAAATGTCTCATAGATATGAAAGAAATTGTTTCAAAGGTATCACTAATAAATCCAGTTTCTGCAGTAGATACAAAACTCAATAGTGTTTTACATTGGTTCCTTAACACATGAAAATGAAGGTAGTAGGGAAGCACGGGAGAAATGTCTGAGCTGCTTTCTTTCTTTACTTATACAACCTTATAGTTACACTTTTTGCTTGTCATCTTGAACCTTCCTTATACTTTGTCTGCCCTTTGTCTATTTATGGAAATGATTTTTTTTTCTCTATGAAGTTTTTCTGAACTAAAAAAGGATTATTCTCTTTTCCTCAAGAGCCAGTTCTCAAACTTCTTAATTCATGTGGTTTCCACAGTAACACCTGCTTAATTCAAGGTTGGGGAGAGATTAGTTTTGATGAGATTCATCATTCATTCATCTATTATCAATAACTTTTTATGAATTATCATCTTTCACACCTTTCTTGACAAAAATCCTGTTTACTTTCTAGTGAAGGGTGGGAAGAGGAAGTTGTGAAAAGAAACAATAGTGACAGATAACAGAAAGCATTTTGTGGAACATTAAGAGGGTAAATATTGGGCCTCCCCTGGCAGCGCAGAGGTTGAGCGCTGGGCTGTGAAGCTGCCCACAGCCTCTGCATAGCTGGTTTGATCCCTGGCCACCAGCGAGGGTCCCACATGGCGTGCAGACCTCTCCTGCCGGGCCCACTGCTCCCCTCAGCAGTGTATTTCGTCCTTCTGCCTGTTCTGTTCCCCACTCTGGCTCTGGTGAATTCTCTCACCCTCCCACGCTTCTGACTATACCCAGTGCTTGTATAAATAAATAAATAAATAAATAAATAAAAATCTTAAAAAAAAAAGAGGGTAAATATGACAGAAGCTAACTGTATGGCTATTTTATATTGGGTGGCTTGTTTCCTTAACACGATGCCTTGAAAGTCACCACCAATAAAAACAAACTGCTCTCTCACAGATGGCGGTGGGGTAAGGTGTGGGGACAACAGCCTTAAGGTCCGCTGGCTTATATCTACATTTTAAATTCCATAGAGCAGTGGCTCTACTTTACAGAAACAGTGTCATAACTGCCTCATTTGGAGATAGGGAAACCAGATAGCTATACAGGCCCAGGGTGCATTGGAAGGTCCTTGACAGTGGAAATGTAAGGAAGAGATGGTTTAAAGAACATTTAGGAGGTGCAATCTACAGGAGCTTTTTAAACATTTGGACATGGAAGGGAAGGGAAAGAACTGATTCTGAGGTTTCTCAGATGAGTTGATTAGTGTGTAATTAATCAAGACAGTAAACATTGAAGGGTGCAAATTTGAGAGTTTGGTTTGGGTGATGGTGAATTTTAATGACACTGCTGACTGTCTTCTTTTGTTTTTTCTACACAGCACTTATTACCACTGACATTTACATGTTTGTTTGTTTATTTATTGCCTATGTCCACACCCTCCCAAGTCCCATAGGCAACAACCTTGTCTGTTTCTGCCACAGGCTAGATACTTGCATGTACTAGATACTCAATAAATAATTGTTGGATGAATAAATAAGGCAGTATTTTTATTTTTAACTCATTTAATTACCAAAACAATCCCGAGATTTTACTCTTGTATAGATAAGGAAACATTTACATGTTTGTTTGTTTATTTATTGCCTATGTCCACACCCTCCCAAGTCCCATAGGCAACAACCTTGTCTGTTTCTGCCACAGGCTAGATACTTGCATGTACTAGATACTCAATAAATAATTGTTGGATGAATAAATAAGGCAGTATTTTTATTTTTAACTCATTTAATTACCAAAACAATCCCGAGATTTTACTCTTGTATAGATAAGGAAATCGAGGCCTTTAGAAGTTGGACAATACATGTATTAACTTGCCCAATGTCACAACCTACAACAGAAGATATATTTGAACTCATATCTTTCTCAATCCAATGCCCATTTTCTCTGGATATGAGGAATACTTCAGCAGTTTTTGATGAACAATCACAGGTAATCCTAGACTTTTTAATTTTCCGGGCCCCTTTAGCAGTGTGAAACCTATAGACCAGTCTCAGAATAATATTTTGGAGTGCATAAAATACACAGGATTACAAAATAAACCAATTACACTTAAACAGTTATCAAAATAAAAGAAATTGATACAGTATTATTACATGTGCTTCCTCACTATCATGAAATATCAGGATTAGCACCAAACTTTATAATGACTGTAATTTCTAAATAATGATGTGTACACTATTTTGAGAGCTGTCATGATTGTAATATCCTATGAAAATATTAGAGAAAAAATAGGTACAGATATTACACTTTTTTTTTTTTTTAAAGATTTATTTATTTATTTGTATTTTATTTATACAGGCACTGGGTACAGCCAGAAGCGCGGGAGGGTGAGAGAATTCACCAGAGCCAGAGCCAGAGCGGGGAGCAGAGCAGGCAGAAGGACTGAAGCACACCGCTGAGGGGAGCAGCTGGTGGCAGGAGAGGTCTGCGTGCCATGTGGGACCCTCCTACGGTGGCTGGGGAGCAGCCGGGCATCAAACCGGCGCCACAGAAGCTGCGGGCAGCCTCGCAACCCAGCGCTCAATCGCTGCGCCACTGGGGAGGCCCCTACACTTTTTTTTTTTTAATAACTATATTCATAATTGAACAAAGGCTAACTTTCAGTTGGTGGTTAAAGGTATAATTTTTTCCCCAGCCAAGATCAGACTCGCTGAAATATATCCGTTGGAGGACTACTATGAGTTTCTATGAGCTGGCCACTTATGGGTGACCTATTTGCTATCTATGAATCACAGCAGAGAATTCCTTGATTACTATAGGGTATAGCTGGTATCATGAGGCAGGCCCGGCGACTCATAAGCCGCTGTTGACCTGATTACGTGACTATCTCCATGGTGGTCTCAGGATAACTGCCTGTGATAATATCAAATACTTTACTGATGCAAATGGCTCTTGGTATGGCCATGACATTTGGTCATTACGTATGGTCATTACGCGGGACATTTCCTGTCCCTCATAAAACTTTGTCCCCCAATCCCATCCCATGCTCCAGACTTTATTCCTCATACCATTGTCACATGATCAGCTTTAACTAGCCTGTATGATTTCAATAAATGGCACAAGAACTTCTGCTCAAGTAGCAGAGTCTTGCCTTGCAAACCTGCTCCACGAGTGCTGTGTCCCTCTTCTCCCTCATCTCGTTCCCACTGCAAAGTGGCAATAAACTGTAAGCCTCAGGCTCAGAACTCTTGGTTCTAGTAGAGGAGGAGAAAAGCTGATGATAAAATCAAGTCTGGGATGTGATTCGTTAACTATTTTTGTTGATATATACCCTGTTGTCTAGAACAGCTCTGTCACATAATAGGCATTCAATAAATATGTTGAATAAATTTATTTTGAATTCTAATGAATGATTACCACAGATAGATACTGTGCTATATACTTTATAAAATGCAAAGCTGAGCAATACACAGACTGCATGCTCAAGGATTTTAGGGGTTTTATGGGTTCTTTTACATATCTATAACATACTGTGTCATGTTTAGCATTGTGCACATTAGGCACACAAGATGAAAAATATACAAAACTATAATACTGTGATATTCACAACAATATTCTCTAGCTTACTATGCTAGATTTTGGTTGCTTCCATGTATTTGGGGAGATTAGGTACTTATTAACCGCACACTCTTGATGTCTGTTAATTAAGATCTCTAAGGATATTTTGGGGGGTCTTCTGACCCTTGAGAAGGATTCATCCATGCTTCAGACTAAGACATCTTCAATTTTTGCATAACACCTAAACCTCGCCCTTATTTTTAATTCCTTGCCTCCCCACCCTCTTAAGGAACTCTGTTTTGAAAAACATTGTAATATGAAACTAAATTTAAATATTGTCCTTATTTTAAAGGCCAGGTGAGATCACGTCAATGTCAAGATGAAGATTAACAGGGTTAAGATGTAGATCCATAAAACCTAATAAAAAATGATTGTGCCCTCTGTGGCAAGTGTGTGACAAGTGTGAGTGACAGCATTCTGACACTAGGGTTCTGTCTTGGTCTAACATAACTGGGATGAGCAAAGTAAGGTCTTCCAAAGTGAGTAAAACAAAAAGTCCTGGAATAAACGCAATCTATTAAAAATAGAGGTGTGTCGGGCCTCCATGGTGGTGCAAGGGGTTAAGACACAACCTATGAAGCTATCCGCAGCCACTGCAGCACAAGTTTGATCCCCAGCCAGGGAGCTACCCACATGGCGTAGCAGACCTCTCCTGACTCGCCCGCTGCTCCCCTCAGCAGTATATTTCCGTCAATCTGCCTGTTCTGTTCCCCACTCTGTCTCTGGTGAATCCTCTCACCCACCACACCTCTGGCCTGTACCCCAGTTCTTGTATGCATAAATAAATAAATCTTAAAAAAAATAGAGTTGTGTCCACATAAAAAAATCTAAAAAAATAAACTGGCACCAAATATTAAACAAAAACGTTATACTGATAACCAGTTACATACTGATATAACCATTTAAAGTAGCATTTGGAGTTTTCAAATTTACTGGTTTTTCATCCTCAGATCAATTCTAGGGAGGTATTATTATTTATTATTTTATTTTACTGAAAAGGAGACTAGTTTTTGAAAAGTTTTAGTGATTTCTTTCAGGTCCCAGCAAGAAGCAGTGCTTTAAAGCATTATATTCAGATTCGAGGTACAGTGATTTCTCTGTTCAAGATACTTGGGTGCTTCTCGGGGAGAAGATGACTGCTTAACCAAGCACGTGGAATCATTCTTCATGTGGCATAAATAAAACTGCAGTTTCAAATTAGGGAGAAAAATGTTCTGTTTCCTCCTTAACATATAGAAATTCTATTGCTATGTCTGTGAATAGTTACAGCAGAGGATTATATCATTCCTATGTGGGCTGGTTGACTGTTTTTCTTGACCACAGACAATACTTGATCTAGGGAGATGATTTTGAAAATGCAAATTATGCTAATGAAAGGGACAAGAAAAGAGTGCAGAAGAATCTATGACTGACTTATTCACTAGAGCACAGGGTTAGGCACTTAATAGACACAGCAACACTACTATATGAATAAAGAAAAAAATTATTCAAGTAATGCAAATTAGAATCATTTTCCTCTTTTAGGTATTTTTTATCAACATTAAGACAGCTATTAAATGGTCTCTCTGTCAATTTGTGGTCACTCTTACAAATTTCTCAGGCATTTTCTGAGCACCTAGTATGAACCCAATATTGTCTGGATGTTATGAGGGAAGTGATACAAATATTAGCTAACATTATTGTATGCTTTCCACATGATAGAATTTAAATGCTTTTGAGAAGGTTTTTCAAGTAAATTTTAATGACTCCTATTAATATCCCTATGAGGCAGGTAATATATAGCCCTCATTGTATAAATAAGGAACCTGAAACTCAGGGTAACTGTCTAGTCCAAAATCCATAAATCAGAATTTGGATCCAAGTATTTGGAATCCAGAGTCTTAATTCTACTCCACTAAACTGTCTTTTCCTATTAGAAGTCAAACAATTGCCTTCAAAGTATTTACCATTTTCATAGGAAAGCGCAACTAGGATTGTATCTTCCACTCTCATACCTCTGGGCCTCTTCACAGAGCTGCCTGAGTGTCCTCAGGTAAGGAAGGCAACTGGCTTCTCCAGGAAACCCTAGTGCCTTCGATGACCTTGTCTTGGGAGCTATTTTCTACTTTATTACTCTTACTCCAGCCCACACTCAAGGGGATACTTATGCTCCACTTCTTTTCAGGGAGGTGTATCAAAGAATTTGTGGGCATATCTTAAAGCCATCACACCAAGCAAAGGAGAGTGACAAACACTTAAGATCTGGAAGAGAGTCTGATTATATACATGAAATTGAGAAAGAACAGCCACAGAGATAAGAAAAAACAAGGAGAATGTAGTGTTAGCAAATGAAGGAGGGGGTGGTCAATGGTATCAAAAGATACCAAATGGGAATGGAAAAATGCCATTGAGTTTAGTGATATAAGATCTTAGAACTGTTTTGTGCAGCTGAACAGGTGGGTAGAGACATCAGAAATTCTTGGACTCAATTAATATTCATTTTTAGCCACCTGACCTCTACTTAATACAGTACAGTAACATCAGCTGCATATTAATTTATTGTAGCTCAACTATCTGGACCCGTATCTATCTGTATGTATCTATCTAACTCATATTATACAGGAGTGATTCCACTGACCTTTTCACTCTACCAGTTTATGAGTGTAAGATGGGAGACTACAAATCTGCTCCTCCCTCAGTTTCAGGTTTTTCTGTCTCTAGCACAAGCATCTTGCTGCTCTGCATGTAATTCTAGTGTTTAAAGACAGTTATGTATTTTTCATACAACATGGTTTCTAAATGCAAGCCAATTTCTTTGGTTTTCAGATGGAACCACTCGTGTTTCAATGGTGGGGAAAAAAACAAGCTGTGTAAAACTGACTACAGTACATTGTTCTCCAACATAGTGTTTTCCTATGACACTTCATAGGGTAATCTTGACTATATACAATTTTCATTTTAGGTATTGACTTTAGAGCCAGTTTAAGACGACACACTGAGGAGGAAAGAGAATGCCTAAGGCATCCCTGGGGTGATGGAGTTCCAGCCAAGGTAGACTGTGCCCCAAATAGCAGGTATTTTTTCTGCTTAAGTCTCTATTCTACTAGGTTCTGGAGGCAGTCCAAAGCTCTTGTACCTACTGACCCTGCCTTGTTTATTTTAGACTTAGCATTTTGCCTGCTTAACTTGCAGTACTTCCAGTTCCTCTATCCCACTGCTTCTAAAATTCTGATTTACTGGAAAATGCAAATACTGTAGGTATTTTAAACGAAAATTCAATAGACTATACCTACTAAACTGTTTTTAGTAGTCAACTATATTTTATTGTAACAAGACTGCACAATTAGATTCTAAGCTATACCTTAATTTCATTTTGTATTATCTAGGGTATACTAAAGACTAAGTGTACAAAATTAAAATTGCTCAATGCAAACCAATCTCATTTCTGAATATTTTCACTAAAGCAGAATGCAGCGAAAACTGAACAAGATGAAAATGTTACAAATACTGATAGATTATTCTATTCGCAAAGTAGATGAGGTAAAAAATCACGACGACGTCGACAAAACTGGTCAGTCAGCTCCTCTTTTCCAAGAGCTTGAGGATTCTCTTGGGTTTCACAGATTTGAACAATGTGGAAGCAGGGGAATCCTGCCCTCTGCTGCCTAGTTAAGAAAAGGGCCTCAGCACAACCTGCTTTTGTGAAGAGAAGTTAATGCTCAGGCAAAACACCAGTAAAAAGCAAAAGGTCAGCAGACAAAGTCAATGCTTCCCTGGATTCCTCACTCCAGCCGATCCTAATTTCTCAAATGCGCTTAACCGGCATTCAAACATCAGCAAAGGACATCTGGTTTCAAAAACAAGGTGCTTTTTTCCCTTCTTCTGCTCATTATTTCTCCTTCCTTAGCCATTTGTAAGTTAGAGAGGTTACCCCCCCCACAGTGATTTAGGGGCGACCGGGAATCGCAGAGACTGCGGGCAGTCCTGGGTAGGGGTGCCCGGCGGGCGGACACCGCGCCCGGCTGCCCGCGCGGAGCCCCTCCGCCAGCGGCGGGCAGTTATCCGAGCCCCAGCTCCATGATCCCCCGGGCCGCTGTGTATGTTGGGGGGAAGGAGAGACGTTTACCTGGGGCCGGTCCCCACCAGGTAGGTGTTGGTGCCCTGCAGGGTCATGGGGCCCGGGTTACAGCCCAGGACGCGCACCACTCGACTGGACAGCCGCTCGATGCGCTGCAGGGAGGCAGCCATCTCCGCCCCAGCCGCCGTCGGGCACGCAGCGTGCCGGGCGAGCCGAGCGCGGAAGGAGCAACTAGGCCGGGGGGCGGGGCCTCGTGACGCAGCGCCAGCCCGCGGGGGCGGGGGCGCGGGCGGGGGCGCGGGCGGGGGCGCGGGCGGGGGCGGGGGCGGGGCGCGGGCGGGGGCGCGGGCGGGGGCGCGACCAGCGGTCACGTGACGCCGCTCTCACCTGGCTGGCAGCGGAGCGGGGAACTTTGCGTGCGCGTGGCTGGGGCGGCGTGAGGCGAAGCTGGATTGGGCCCGCCGGGCGCCTCCCCTGGCACAGGTCCGGGTCTTTCACAGGAGTTTGAGTCCGGGCAGGCGAGTTCAAGTGGGTGAGAGAAATTTTAACTTGGGTGTGCTTGAGGCAAAGCGAGGAAGGGGCAGGCAGGTTAGGAAGGATTTGTGCTCGGGATTTTTTGGCGGTGGGTGTGTATGTGTGTGTGTCGTCACCAGTTGCTTTTTTTTTTTTTTTTAATAATAGTGGTCACTAATGATTACTTAGCGCTTTTGCGCTGTGAAGTATTTTTCCCCAAGCTATCTCATTTAATCCTCACAATATTAAGAGGGAGGCGCTTTTTATGCCATTTTACAAACGAAAAACGAAGATTTGGAGACTTGCCCGCGTGAGGGAGCTGGAAGCCTTTTTCTTGGATGTTTGCACTAACATTCGCCTCCACCCGGGCCCAATTCAGGAAGCTTGCTTCTCCTTCCTTGTGCTACCTGCCTGCCCAGAGAACAAAGTTGGTCTCGTGGAGGGAATATAAGGGATCTACTCTCTAAGAAGTCTTTTCTAATCTGTTGAGCTTTAACTACCCCAGTAGAAGTATTAATTACTTACTCTCATTTAAAAAAACAACAACTGAAGTTACAATTTATCTAGAAAAAATTGCACAAGTCCTGTGATCACTCACCCAGTTATGACAACGGTGTGTAACCACAACCCCCAGAGAGATATAGAACGTATCCACTAGCCCCAGCCAGCACCCCTTTTGGGGCATTAGGTGTGCTTGTTAAAAATGAGTAAGATAGTTGACTTTCTAGAGACACATCACCAGGAAGGAAACATACATCTGATGGTAAATCTAAGAGAGGTATAACTAAAATAATGGGACTGTAAGGAGGAAGAAGATAATCAATTTGGGAAGATCTGGGAAAGCTTAAAGGGGTGTGTTGTGTGCTGATTCTTAAAAGATTGCTGCTAGAACTTCATCAGGTAAATGGCGATGCAAGGTCATTCTAGACAGTACATAACCTCAAGCAAAGGCTTGGAAATAGAACTGTTTATTTTGAGAACAGAAACCAACAGTCATGTTCTTGAGGCATAGGATTTAAGAAGATTTATAGTTTGAAAAAGTAGGTAAGGCTAAGTTAATGATAAGTAATTTCTTTATCAGAGTATTTCATTTTCAAGAATCTTTAAGCATGGATTGTTACCACTTGAATATGCTGTTGGTAAATTGTATTTTCTTAGAACTTAATTGAAAAGTATAGTAAAATACACTAGTCAGTCTATTACAGGAGGCATATTGTTCCTTCCCCCAATGGAGTAGTTACAAAGGGGTGTGTTGTAGTCACAATAATAAGACTCTTATCACTAGATTAGAAAATCCCACATATGACTAATGGATGATTTCAGTTTCATTTTAGTATTCGATCTGAAAGGTTTACATGCCCTTTAACTATGCTTGTCTTCAGTGAAGAAGAAATAAAAGACAACCAGGCTGAAGATTTTCTGGACGGGACTTTACATTAAAGAAGGCATTTTATATTGGGCAAGTAAGTCTACATTTTGTTTGTTAAATTTGGTCTACAGTTGAACATTTGCTAGTTTTTACTTCAGAGATCTGCCGTGCTGTGAAGACATCTGTGCAGCGTGCAAAGGTTATGTATTTTGACGGCAGCCAGATAGCCAGGAAGCTGGGGTGACATCTGAATGAAATTCGGTTAAAACTGTCCTGATAAGAAGTGTCATGAGTCTCATTTTAAGTTAGATTTTTGTAGGTGGCGTAATTTCTTCTGAGATGGCATTAGAACAGCGATCATCTATAGGGGTAGGGATGAACTAACCTTTGTACATGTTATACAACTGAGAATTGAAAGAACTATCAGCCATTTTCATGAGAGCCGCTTTATTTATTACGTAGCTATACAGGTTTCTTTCCAGTTGGCATTATGTTCTGCCTTACTAAACTAGGCATATAGAAGTTGTTAGATTAGTCTATTGAGTCTGATGTTCTGCCAATAATGCAGTTTATAATTTCTTAGAGATTATTTTTTCCATCTCACAAAACATGAAAATTGCTGATGTTTCCTTGTCTATCCCAGTTAAAGGAAAATTTCTTTGTAGAGAGAATGATTAAGCACATGGAATGCCCAGGCATTACACTTTGTAATTTTAAGAAAAAATTAGTTTACTCATTGAAGATAATACACCTAATACACAATAACTGTATGTTTCAGTTTCCTGATCTGTAATAATGGGGTCAATAGTAGGGGCCAGTCCCTTCTCTTAGGGATTTGTAAGGATTAAATGAAATAACATATGTAAAATATTTCACATGTAGTAAACACTTGGAAATGGTAGCTATTATTATCAATTTTCTGCTATATATGCAATTTTTTCCCCTGAATTATAAAGCTTAAGAAGTTGCATTTTAAAGAATAATGTTTGACTATTACTTGGATACCTTTAAACACATCCAGCATAGCCATCTAAGGAATCTTTACTGATTATTTTGTGGAACTTTTGTTTCTAGAGGACGAAGTCAAAATGTACTCCATTAAACTTTCAAATTAGCTATTTCTTCTACTTGGGAAGCTCTTCCCTGTGATATCCATTTGACTGACTTCATTATTCAAATGCCACCTCAATGAGACCTTCCGTTGACCATTCTAGGAAAATTACAACCCATGATGTGCCTGCACTTCAACTCTTGATCTCCTTTAATGTGCTCTGTGTTTTTCCCTGGCACTTAGCACCTTTAAATATAACATTTGATTTACTTATTTATTATTTTTATTGTCAATTGACAGTCTTTGTCTTCTAGAATGTAAGTTCCAAAAGAGCAGGGATTTTCATCTCTTTATAAAACCCAGGAGCCTAGTGGCCTCCCTGGTGGTACAGTGTGTTGAGTGCGGCACCAGTTCAATTCCCAGCCAGCAAGGGAGATTCCCAGCGCAGCAGACCTCTCCTGTCTCGCCTGCTGCTCCCTCAGCAGTGTCTTTGGTCGTCTCTCACCTTCCGCATCTCTGGCCTGTACCCCAGTTCTTGTATAAGTAAATAAATCTTTAAACAAACAAACAAAAAACCTCAGGAGCCTAAAGCAGCACATAGTGGGTTCTTAGTAAATACCCCGTGAATTCAGTAGAACAGACTTTTGACTTATCTCATCTCCCTAAACTCCCTGCTTACATTGGGCATGATATCTTTAATTTTAAGATAAGAAATCTGCTGTAGAGAAATTCATGACCTGCTAGACTGGAAAACTTGATTAAAATTTTTTTGTCCATCCTGTTCATATTCTTGACAAGGAAAAGTAGTGATTATGAACATTTTTTTTCTGTAAGAAGAGTGAAATGACTTTTAATCTTATTCTAAAGACGAACAAAATACTTATAAATGATAAAATGACAAGAACCCCATAAATATTCTTTGTGTGTAATTTTAGTAACACTTACCTTCTGGTTCTTAAAGTAAGTAAATGTCCTTTATAGAACACATAAGGTGTGAGTCTAGTTAGGCTGATATAACAGAATACCACAGACTAATGGCTTAAACAACAGGAATTTTTTTTCTTACAGTTCTGGAGTCTGGGAGTCCAAAATCAAGGTGCCAGCAGGATTGGTTTTGGGTGAGGTTTCTCATTTGGTTGCAGATGGCTGCTTTCTTACTGTATCCACACATGGCCTTTCCTCTGTGTTAGGGCTAAGAAGGAGAGATAGTTATCTGGGTCACTTCCTCTTGTAAGGATACCAGTGTTAACTGGATTAGGGTGTGTTCTTTTTTTTTTAACCTTAATTACCTCTTCAATGGCCTATCTCTAAACATAGTCCCACGGAGTTAGAATTTCAACATATGAATTTTGGGGGGAAACAATTTAGTCCATGCATATGGGACAGAATGAGGAAAATGAAAAAATTCATTTATAATATCATTAATTCACCTGATAAAACCATGGTTAACATTTTTCCATTTCCATTGCATTTTCAAAGCTTTGAGATTGTATCATAGTGTTTTTTACTTAACATTATCTAAAATGAAGTTGTCAGAGACTGCAAACTCAGATGCTTACAGGGACCAGGCAAGCAGACAAAGTAGTAATGATAACTAACATTTATTGAACCCCAATTGTCAGCCAAGTACTTTTCTACTTGCATTTATATGCATTATCCTTCTTAACAACCCTGTGAGGTTTATATTATACAATTATTTTCTTTACATTTCAAATGAAGAAAACAAGGCATAGGAAGGTAAAAGAACACATTTAAGGACACCAAATTAGTAGGTAGCTGCATTAGCATTGGAATCCAGCTGTTAAGTGACTGAAGTGGGGTGACTAGTTACTGTGGTGAACTTGACAGAATGTGCCTCATCCAGGCAGTGAAAATTTTGGGGTTTTATATGAAATTTTGGCAATTAGGAAAATAAAAAAAAAAATACTTGAGTCAGACAGGTCTTGCCTGGTGATTGCATTCGGTCCTATTCACTAAATAGGGATGATAATAGCAATAGCTATCTCCTCAATTTGATCTAAGAATAAAATGGAGGCACTTTGTAATTTTATATGCAACATTCAGTTCAGTTCCTGACACATAATGCTAAGTAAATGTTAGCTATCTTAGTAGCCTAGATATTTTCTCCAGCTATTGGAAAAGGATCATTTGCAATTGCTTTAAAGAAATTATGTAATATGCCAGTATATGCATATTTTAAAACTAAACAAAAAATAGTATACTTAAAGGATAGATGTACTATAATTTATTGAATTAGACCTCTCAATTGTCTCAAGTAGTTTTTAATTTTTTACTGTTATGAAAATGGTTCTACAGAGAGCAGATATTTTTGCGAAAATTTGCATTTCTCTAGGCTTGATTTCTAAATGGAATTACTGAACCAAAAATAAAGAATATTCAAAGCTATTGCACCTTTGTCAAATATATTTTTAATAACTTTGTAATATTTTATGAATCTTCCGTTATTTACTTTACCAATTCCTTATGTTGTCGAATTTAGATTTTTTCCAAATTTTTCCCTTTATAAATGATCCTGTGATAAGTATCTTTGCAAGTGGGTTCTGTTTTTTTGTTTAAGATTTATTTATTTATTTATTTATATAAGCACTGGGTACAGTCAGAAGTCGGGAGGGTGAGAGAATTCACCAGAGCCAGAGCTGCGAGCAGAACAGGCAGATGGACGAAGTACACTGCTGAGGGGAGCAGCGGGTGGCAGGAGAGGTCTGCGCGCCATGCGGGACCCTCCCCGGGCAGCGGGGGATGGAACCAGCGCTGCAGAAGCTGCGGGCAGCTTCGCAACCCAGCGCTCAACCGCTGCGCCACCGGGGAGGCCCTGGGTTCTGTTTTTTAAAGGATAATAGTCTAAGAGGAATTTGTCAACTAGTAAGTATATTTCTGATTTATTTATTTTCCCAAAGCTATTATTTCACCAAAGCTATTTCCCAAAGCTATTATTATAAGAACTATATTTAGTAGTAATATATTATTTTTAGAAAAAGTAGAGCTTGGATAAAGTCATGTCTTAGGATTTTTAGTATTTTACTCAACATTTTTAAAATCTTGCATATATATGTTTAATTTTAGGTGTTGTCATCTGTAACAAAGATCGTTGTGAAGCTGAAGATGGAATAAAGTCTTGTAACACTGGATCTGGATTAAGAGATTTAGAAAAGAAAATTAAAATTAGTCATTTAGGTTTTTAGCCTTCCAATTTCATAATATTTATTCATCTAAATAGATTTAAGGAGTAGATATTACATTTCAGTCTTATACCAAAGGATGCACTAATATTTGTTCTAGCATTCTTTTCCTTTTTGTATGAGAAAAGAAAGTAGATAGCCAGCAGCTATAGTGATTCATAATGAAGTATACTAAGAAGAATTTTATATTGTCAGCTATTGGTTTTATAATCTATACAATTGATTTAATTGTGGATATCTGGGTTTCTGTCAAGTTTTTCCAAGAAGAACAAAATGTTTTTGGTGCTTTAACAATAAGTTTTATGCTCTTTGGAACACTTGCTGTCCAGTGTTTTAGTTATTCTTGGTTTAAGGCTGATTTAAAGAAATCTGGTCAAGAAAGTCAGTGTAGTTTACTCCTACTTCATTGCTTGCAAGGAGGAATTTTTACAAGGTAAGCCTACGCTTTGATTATTAACACCATTTTTCTTTTATCCAAACAGAAATTGCTTTCATGTATCCGGGTAGTCAAATGTACAAAGGTCCCATATTTGCATGTAGTGTAAAGGTTACTTGCTTCTCATTGTCAGTGCTCATATGACTTATTATTGTACTGTCAGGATTTTCCAGGTTCACTAATTGAATGTTTTAATTTACACAATTAAGTGACATATTCTGATACGTGCTTATACTTAATGTGAATAATATGTACTTTATATTTAATGTGTACCTATACTTAATATGTACTTATATTTATGAAGACATTTGCATGTCTATGAATGTTTTATATTTTTTATTCCATGCCTGATTGTGCAAATATAGCCTATCACTTGAAAGTCTGATAGAACACTTAATTTAGTAAGTACTTATACTATTGTTTTAACTAACTGAAATTTTTGTTGTAATAATGCAATAGCCATTTAGTTAGTTGGGTATATAAGCATGCACAGAATGAAAAACACCTTAAGATTTATATTGTGCAAAGCTTTGTAGTTAAAGAAACTAGGATCTAATAGTCTTTGAAAACCCTATGATTCTTCACATATCTAATTTCACGTGACCTTACATTATAATTTTAAGGGGTGTAATTCTGTTACAAATATACATCTTAAAAGTAAAGAGAAAAAATAAAGACATATTAAGATGATAGCATATTATTTCATAGTAGTTAGAGATTGAGTTTGGACTATTTTAATAGCTTTCATTAAGCTTAATTTCTGATTTTCTCATGTTAAAAAACAACAAATTCTTGGCAATTAGTTGAAGGTATTAAAAATTCCAGGCATTCATAATTTAATTAAATAATAAATGCTATTCAGTTGATGAGATTTATAGTTTTCCAAATATGTGAAAAACAAAAGATGCAGTGAGGAAAAAATACAAGTTTTATGGAAATTGGAAAGAAAGCACATAAGGTATTGGATTGGGAAGTTAGTCTTGTAACTCTGTTCTTACTGTAATTACATTCTCAAGTGAAAATATTTAAAGAAACGGTGTAAAAATTAGTGCTGATAAGTAAATGTATGTGTAATAAGTAGGATTTAATGTATGTTCTTTATAGGCAATAATAAGAATTATGTAATTATAATTAATATCTAGAGAAGTATAAAAATTACTTTTTAAAAAATAAATACATGTTTATTTTGTGTACAAGATCTGGGGTGTAGGCTAGAGGTACAGGGTGGCGGGGCAGAGAGGATTCATCAGAGACAGAGTGGGGTGCAGAACAAGTGGATTTACTGAAATACACTGCTAAGGGGATCAGCAGTTAAGACAGGAGAAGTCTGCTGCGCCCTGTGTGGGTTAGCTTCCTGCCCAGAGATTGAACTCAGGCCATACTGGTGATTAGCACTGAGATTTAACCCGTAGGTCCCCAGGGAGGCCCCGTAGCAGAGAATTTAGAAATAAAGAAAAATCCTTATTTGCCACTCTGTTAATGGAAAATTTTCATAGGTACAGAATTATTTTCATTGGTCTTTCAGATAATGACTTGAAGCTTCTATAAGATATAAGTTGTGTTATAAAAGAAAGGTACATTATCTTAAGTCTTAGTGTATCTTGACATACCTAGTAATTTCTGATTGAATGTCAGCTATTGTATGTAAAACATTGTAGACTTTCCAGATGATTATATTTTCCTTTTCTGTGCTAGGTGTTTTGAATAAGGGTTAGTTTACTTTTGGTTTGCCCCTATGCCTTGGGTGCAGCCTTTCAGGGCACTGAGAGTCTGGTATGGTCATGCTTCTCCTCATATCCTGAATACTAGTCCTTATCATCTTGGCACCATAAGGCTGCTAGAAACTCTGCTTTCCTTTTCCAGTATTTTCTGCTTAGCTTTAGAAAGCATAGATTTTGTGCTAAAGCCTCTCATAGTTTCAAAATTTGGCAGATGTCTTGAAGGAAAACAGCTTTTGAGGTTCCCGTGGTATTCAGTCCTGTGAGATCTTTAAAACCTTTGCTAGTTTCTAACAATAACTCTCTCTGCTTGGACAAATTTCAGATTTTCAACTTCTTGTCCTGAGTAACAAAATCAGCAAGTATCTTTAGGCAACATATATCTGTGGAAACATTGGTTGAGTTTCCAGTTTCTTTAGCTATTTCAGCAGGAGTATTGGCTTGCTTCAGGATACTACTTCCTATGTAGAAGTGTAATCCTTAACATGCAGTCTTTATTACCATGAATCTAAAGTTGAACAGAACTTTACTGTACTCACAGATCATATAAAGACTTCAAAATACTTGAATTCCATTTACCGTGTTCCCAATTTATACATTAATTGTTCTGGTATTTCATTTTCTATTTTTAACTTCACTAGATGATAGTGGTACTGCCCTATTATTACTGTTTTATATAATTAAATTTTACTAAATTTTGTTTATGTTTTATCTTCTTGTGTCTTGGCTCTTTAACCTTCATTTCACCATCTTTCTTGAGAGATATTTTAGTGGTTATAGAATTTTAGATTGAGTAGGTGTTTTCTCTCAGCATATTATTATTCTCTTGTCTTTGGTTTCCATTGTAGCTTTTGAGGACTTAAATGTCAGTCTTTTTGCTGTTCTTTAAAAAAAAAAAATTTCGTCTTTTATCTTCTCTGCCTGCTCTCTTGATTTTTCTCTTTATATTTGGTTTTGTATAGTTTTATTATGTTATATTTGAATATATTTTATTTGTCTTGCTTGGGATTTGGTGGTCCCCTGGATTCTGTGGATTATTATCTTCCATCAGTTCTGTACATTTGTTAGCCATTGTCTTTTCCAGCATTTTCTTTAACACATTTCTCTCTTCATTGTGGGACTCCAAGCAGATGTAAGTTAGACCTTCTCATTGTGACTAACTTGACACATACATGTTAGATACTTAAAATTTTTATTTTTTGACTCTTATTTTCTATTTAATTTTTTGATAACTCTTCTTTCATTAGTACTTTCTTTTGCTGTGACCAAAGTGTTATTACCCCCAGATACTACTTTCTGAATTTTCTTCCAACTCTTTGATTTTGTTTTTTTTTAAATGATAGCAATTTTGAACTCTATTTGATAGGGAGGTAATATCTTCCATTACTTTTGGTTGTATTTAGGAGAGTTCTCTACTTGTGATGTCACATTCATTTGAAGTCTCAAGTTTCCATGTTTTGTTTTATCGCTGCCTGTTTTGCTTTTTTGGATTTCCTGTTTTTTTTTTTTTTTTTTTTAGTATCTGTAGCAGTAACTTAGAGAGTTGAATGACTTTTAATTTTCTAGCAGGTGGTGCTGTGATTTTATTTACTTTTAGCTTTTTATCTTTGCTGGCTCTTTAGGCCCAGAGATTTAATATTGCATTTGTTGAATCAGAGGGTGGGAGACAGGTCTGCAGGGTTCCAGCCACTGGTGTTGAATGAATGTACTAAGGAAGAGGACTGGCTCATGTTTGTGGCACCCCATATATTCCTCCTCTCTGGGGTTCCAGTCCTAGACTGTGCATTTTCTTTGCAATGCTGCTGTGTTTCATAATGTTAGTTCCAATCCCAAGGCATGGGGGGAGGGGAGTCCAATCCAGAGTACAATGTCTGCTTTCCTTACTGGTGGTCAAGCATGTATGGAGACCTCCAGCTTCTTCAAAGGTGTTTCTCTTACTCAATGGTGTGTGCCTCTGCTCCATTTACGTCTCCATTCTCTACAGCCCGTGATTGAGCTGACAGCCTGCTGATGTATCCACCAGTCTTAGACCACAGCCTATAGGCATTTCTTTCCTTCTACGTTCTGTTTAATGAAACATGACTCTCCTTTCTGTCTTTCCACAGTCTATTTTGACATCCAATGTCCAGTGGATATTCCAGTTTTGCTCCATACCATGGGGTTCTTAGGTATTAGTGTCTCTCTGGGGCACTGTTACATGATGCTCTCGGGAACAAAGCAAAGATCTCCTCTGTCACTCTGTCACTATCTTGGTCCTAAGATTGTATTTTCTTTTTTTTTTTTTAATAATAAATTTTATTGTTATATTCCCCATACAATTGCAGTGCCCCCATTCTGACCCCAATCCCTCCCCTCCCGCCCCCGCCCCCCAAAAAGTGTCTCTGGTTCATAGTTTTTTGTTGATTTTGATTTTCACTTTCTTATAGTTATTCATTTTCCTGGTCCCTTATTTAAGTTTTCTAGATTCCTGCTATGAGTGAGACCATCCGGTATTTTTCTTTTTCTTTTTGGCTTATTTCGCTGAGCATGATCCCTTCCAGCGCCATCCATGTTGCTGCAAATTGCATGAGTTTATCTTTTTTGAATGCTGAGTAATATTCCATGGTATATATGTACCACATCTTCTTGATCCAGTCATCTATTTTTGGGCATTTGGGTTGTTTCCAAAGCTTAGCTATTGTAAACAGTGCTGCTATAAACATAGGGGTGCAGGTGTTCTTTGGAATTGATGTTTCTGTGTCCTTTGGGTAAATACCTAGGAGTGGAATTGCTGGATCATATGGAAGCTCTATGTTTAGTAGGTCCAGAAATCTCCACACAGCTCTCCACAGTGGTTGGACCAGTTTGCACTCCCACCAACAGTGCAGAAGAGTTCCTTTTTCTCCACACCCTCGCCAACATTTGTTGTTGCTAGTTTTTTTAATATGTGCCATTCTCACTGGTGTAAGATGGTATCTCATGGTAGTTTTGATTTGCATCCCTGATGGCAAGTGATGTTGAACATTTTTTCATATGCCTGTTGGCCATTTGCATTTCCTCTTCAGAGAAGTTTCTTTTTAGCTCTTCTGCCCATTTTTTGACTGGATTATTTTCTTTGTTGTTGTTGAGTCTCATCAGCTCTTTGCAGATTTTTGTGATCAGCCCTTTATCATTAGTGTTGGGTGCAAAAATGTTCTCCCAGTTGGTGGGTTTCTCTTTGTTTTTGTTATTGTCTCTTTTGCTGTGCAGAAGCTCTTTAATTTGATGTAGTCCCAGCTGTTTATCTTTGCCTTCACTATC